CATGATATTGTCCCACTCTTTGGTTTGATTGCACAGTATTCCTCCCCTGACTATTCCCAGGCTCCATGGCTAGAACATTGCAAAGAATTATTGATCTTGAGGCAAGTCTTAGCACTCATGTGGTTCCTCAAGTTCTTGCCTGAAGAGATATTTTACAAGATGAACATTAGATTATTTTAGAAGCAGTTACCAACACGCAAGAACAACAACAACAACGAAACCAGTAATAAATCTTTCACTGTTTTGTTCTCCTAGAATCCAAAATATTATGAACAGCCATAGGTGCTTTCACAATTGATAAATTCATATTTCTTATTACCACCAATGACAGAAAGCATATATTTTCCTCCTTTCTCTGTCCCCATCAGGGAGTTTTCATATATCTCAAATTTACTACTGTCCTTTAACAGGTTTTTACACATTCTGAATTTTTAATGCAGTTGTTTCAAATATTTAAAAACAACACTGAGCTTTTTAATCCTAAACCATGTTTATTTTAACAGCGTTTAATGTCTAAATAAAATGTTAATGTTATTTCTTTTAAATTTCTTCTTTAATATTTTTAAAGTACATTTTTTCAAAATAGATATTATTTGTTACAAGATTGTGTCCATAACAAGCTATATAGAAGCACTTTTTTAAGTAGTGAAAATTAGTTGTGCAAAGAAACCAAAACAAAATACCATCCTAAATAAAAAAAAGTGTGTTACACTGTATCTATGCAGGACATTGGCTCACTTTTTGATGGCATTGTTTTTCTCTTGTAAATTTGTTAAAGTTATTTGTAAATTCTGGATTAGCCCTTTGTCAAATGGATAGACTGCAAAAATTTTCTCCCATTCCCTAGGTTGCCTGTGCACTCTGATGGTAGTTTCTTTTGCTGAGCAGAAGCTGTTTAGTTTAATTAGATCCCATTTGTCAATTTTGGCTTTTGTTGTCATTGCTTTTGATGTTTTAGTCATGAAGTCTTTGCCCATGCCTATGTCCTGAATGTTACTGCCTAGGTTTTCTTCTAGGGTTTTTATGCTTTCATGTTTTATGTTTAAGTCTTTAATCCATCTTCAGTTAATTTTTGTATAAGGTGTAAGGAAGGGGTCCAGCTTCAGTTTTCTGCGTATGGCTAGCCAGATTTCCAAACACCATTTATTAAATAGGGAATTCTTTCCCCACTGCTTGTTTTTTGTCAGGTTTGTCAAAGATCAGATGGTTGTACATGTGTGGTATTATTTCTGAGGGCTCTGTTCTGTTCCATTGATCTATATATCTGGTTTGGTATCAGTACCATGCCGATTTGGTTACTGTAGCCTTGTAGTATAGTTTGATGTCAGGTAGCATGATGCTTCCAGCTTTGTTCTTTTTGCTTAGGATTGTCTTGGCCATATGGGTTCTTTTTGGTTCTATATGAAACTTAAAATAGCTTTTTTTCTAATTCTGTGAAGAACATCAATGGTAGCTTGATGGGAATAGCATTGAATCTATAAATTACTTTTCGTAGTATGGCTATTTTCACGATATTGATTCTTCCTATACATGAGCATGGATTGTTTTTCCATTTTGTTGTGTCCTCTCTTATTTCCATGAGCAGTGGTGTGTGGCTCTTTTTGAAGAGGTCTTTCACATCCCTTGTAAGTTATATTCCTAGGTATTTTATTTTTTTGTACCAGTTGTGAATCCAAGTTTACTCTTGATTGGGCTTTCTGCTTGTCTGTTATTTGTGTATAGGAATGTTTGTGATTTTTTGCACATTGATTTTGTATCTTGAGACTTTGCTGAGGTTGTTTATCAGTTTAAGGAGTTTTTGGGCAGAGACGATGGGGTTTTCTCAATATACACTCATGTCGTCTGCAAACAGATACAGTTTGACTTCCTCTCTTCCTATTTTAATGCCCTTTATTTCTTTCTCTTGCCCGATTGCTCTGGCCAGAATTTCCAATACTATGTTGAATAGGGGTGAGCGAGGGCGTCCTTCTCTTGTGCCAGTTTTCAAAGGGAACGCCTCCAGTTTTTGCCCATTCAGTATGATATTGGCTATGGGTTTGTCATAAAAAGTTCTTATTATTTTCAGATATGTTCCATTGATACCTAGTTTATTGAGAGATTTAGCATGAAGTGGTGCTGAATTTTATTGCAGGTCTTTTCTGCATCTGTTGAGATAATCATGTGGTTTTTGTCGTTGGTTCAGTTTATGTGATGGATTATGTTTATTGATTTGTGTATGTTGAACCAGTCTTGCATCCCAGGGATGAAGCTGACTTGATTGTGGTGAATAAACTTTTTGATGTCCTGTTGAATTTGGTTTGCCAGTATTTTTTTTTTTTTTTTTTTTTGAGACGGAGTCTCGCTCTGTCGCCCAGGCTGGAGTGCAGTGGCACGATCTCGGCTCGCTGCAAGCTCCGCTTCTCGGGTTCACGCCATTCTCCTGCCTCAGCCTCCTGAGTAGCTGGGACTACAGGCACCCGCCACCGTGCCCGGCTAATTTTTTGTATTTTTAATAGAGACGGGGTTTCACTGTGGTCTCGATCTCCTGATCTTGTGATCCGCCCACCTCGGCCTCCCAAAGTGCTGGGATTACAGGCGTGAGCCACCGCGCCCGGCTGGTTTGCCAGTATTTTATTGAGGATTTTTGCATGATCTTCATCAGTGATATTGGCCTGAGATTTTCCTTTGTGTGTGTATGTGTCTCTGCCAGGCTTTGGAATCAGGATGATGCTGGCCTTATAAAGTGAGTTACAAAGAAGTGCCTCTTTTTCTATTGTTTGAAGTAGTTTCAGAAGGAATGGTACCAGTTCCTCTTTGTACCTCTGGTAGAATTAGGCTCTGAATCCATCTGGTCCTGGTTTTTTTTTTCAGTATACATTTATCTTTGCAGGTAGTAGTTTCAGAAGGAATGGTACCAGTTCCTCTTTGTACCTCTGGTAGAACTGGTCCTGGTTTTTTTTTTTTTTTTTTTGGTTGGTAGGCTATTAATTACTGCCTCAATTTCTGAATTTATTATTGGTTTAGTCAGGGATTTGACTTCTTCCTGGTTTAGTCTTAGGAGGGCGTATGTGTCCAGAAATTTATCCATTTCTTCTTGATTCTCTAGTTTATTTGTGTAGAGGTGTTTACAGTATTCTCTGGTGGTAGCTTGTCTTTCTGTGGGATCAGTGGTGATATCAGCTTTATCACTTTCTATTGGGTCTATTTGTTTCTTCTCTATTTTCTTCTTTATTCATCTGGCTAGTGGTCTATCTATTTGTGTTTTTATTTGTTTTGTTTTGTTTTGTTTTGTTTTTTTCCCCCAAAAAACCAGATACTGGATTCATTGATTTTTTTTGGTGGGTTTTATTTTTGTGTCTCTATCTCCTTCAGTTCTGCTCTGATCTTAGTTATTTCTTGTCTTCTGCTAGCTTTTGAATTTGTTTGCTCTTGTTTCTCTAGTTCTTTCAATTGTGATGTTTGGGTATCTATTTTAGATCTTTCCTATTTTCTGATGTTGGCATTGAGTTCTATAAAAATCCCTCTAAACACTGCTTTAGCTGTGTCCCAGAGATTCTGGTACATTGTGTCTCTGTTCTCACTGATTTCAAAGAACTTCGTTATTTCTGCCTTAATTTCACTATTTACCCAGTAGTCATTCAGGAGCAGGTTGTTCAGTTTCCAGGTAGTTGTGCGGCTTTGAGTGAGTTTCTTAATCCTGAATTCTAATTTGACTGTACTGTGGTGTGAGAGGCTGTCTGTTATGATTTCCATTCTTTTGCCTTTGCTGAGGAGTGTTTTACTTCCAATTATGTGGTCGATTTTAGAATAAGTGCTATGTGTTGCTGAGAAGAATGTATATTCTGTTGATTTGGGGTGGAAAGCTCTGTAGATATCTATTAGGTTCACTTGGTCCAGAGCTGAGTTCAAGTCCTGAATATCCTTGTCAATTTTCTCTCTCATTGATCTAATATTGAAAGTGGGGTGTTAAAGTCTCCCACCATCGTTGTGTGGGAGTCTAATTCTCAACAACAACAACAAAAACTCCTGCAGTTAACTGGGTGTCTGCCCGACAGCCACCCAGTTTTGTGCTTGAAACCCAGGGCCTTGGTGGTGTAGGCACATGAGGGAATTTCCTGGTCTGTGGATTGCAGAGACTATGGGAAAAGTGTAGTATATGAGCTGGATAGTACAGTTTCTCACAGCTTCCCTTGGCTGGGAAAGGGGGTCTCTCCCACTCCTTGCATTTCCTTGGTGAGGTGACGAACCACCCCGCTTCTGCTCGCCCTCTGTGGGCTGTATCCACTGCCTAACAAGTCCCAATGAGCTGAACAGGGTACCTCAGTTGGAAATGCAGAAATCACCCACTTTCCGTGGTGGTCTCACTGGGAGCTGCAGACCAGAGCTGTTCCTATTTGGCCATCTTGCCAACAGAATTAGAAAATCAAGCTCATTCTTCTTTATGGCTGCATAATATTCCATGGTGTATATGTATCACATTTTCTTTATCCAGTCTATTGTTGATGGGCATTTAGGTTGATTTCATGTCTTTCTTTTTTCTTTCTTTTTCTTTTTATTTATTTTTTATTTTTTATTATTATTATACTTTAAGTTGTCTGGTCCTGGACTTTTTTTTGGTTTGGTAGGCCCTATTAATTATTGCCTCAATTTCAAGAGCCTTGCTATTGGTCTATTCAGGAGGGATTCAAACTTCTCCCTGGTTTAGTTCTTGGAAGAGTGGTAAGTGGTCCAGGAATTTATCCATTCTTCTAGATTTTCAGTTTATGTTGCGTAGAGGTGTTTATAGTATTCTCTGATGGTAGTTTGTATTTTCCTGTGGGGTTGGTGGGTGATATCCCACTTTAATCAATTTTGTATTGTGTCTATTGTCCATTCTTTTTTTTTTTTTTTTTTTTTTTTTTTTTTGAAGTCTTGTGTTTTACTCCATGGGAAAAAAAAAACTACAGAAGAGTTTTGTTCCATGGCTGCCACTGCAGCCTGGCAACTAAAACAGCCCAGCGCTCACTTCTCGCTTGGAGAAGTATTCTTTGCTCTTTTGGACATCAAGGCTTGATGGTATCAC